CATTTAACAGAACATACTATGATCCAATAATTCAAATAATTACCATTCAGATAGCACTGTGATCTTAATTAGCTTCAAAATTTCAGGTTGAATTCAACACATTCAATTAGTATCATTTTTAACAATCAGATTAATTATCATCGGAAATATTCAAAATATGGCTAATTAAACTACTTTTGGAAAAAAAAGGTTTAACATCGGAATATTAGCATAGTCTAGACTTTTGATTTATTTTCTCTTTTATCGTATTCAACTATTATACCGTCGGCATTTGTCAGTAAATGGCCCAGGAATTGGATAAACTGATCCAACAAAATTTTTGCCCTTCTGCATTAAACTGTAACTAGTGATGAAGAATGGACATTCGTTCAGTTGGAACTAAAAATGATGTCAAACTTTAATTTAATCGATCAATAAAACCTCAAATAATGTCGCAATTCATTGGTTAAATATTTGTCACAAATCACTTAACAATGCTAATTATTTAAAAGGATTAAAATTATATAAAGAATTTCCTAAATTACTAAACTTACCTTGCAAATATTATTTGATCGCCGTGTGATAAAACACAGAGTATAAAGTGCTAAATCAAATTCTGGACTTGTGCCTAAGAAAAATGAACCAGTCCGCTTAAGATATTTGCCCCAATTGAATTGTACTACAGCCAAGATATTCTGAAAAGAAAAGAATTTCAATCATTTTTTGAATTAATTCAATTAATCATTGCCCCTATTAACACAGCATTTACTTGAAGCTCAACGATCAAAGGAGAAGCATCTAACTGATCTGTTTTTACTAAAGTAATTACATTTAAAGTTCAATTTTATATATGTAAATGAATAATCAATTTCTTAATTAATTTGATAAACACGTTTTTGGAACTAATTTCGACAGAAAAAAAAGTGAAAAAATAATCTGACTTGATAAGACAATACTGATACATATATTTGGTATCAATCTATCTTATCAAGTCAAATGTCTTTATTATCAAGTAACAAGTTCTCCTTCATTATCAGCACCACCTTTTCCGCGTATTATCCAAATAAGTGGTGCAACTAACAAATCGTTTAAGGGTATATCCATGATAATTAAATTGTTCTGAATCATTCCGCTCTAGTAAATAAAATCTCAGCCATGAATGCATTCCAATCACTTCGTCATTTTTGTGCTGAATTTTAAAATTACTGCTAAAAATTTTTCTGGAAACAGAAAGAAGAAAACATGTGGTCCGTATAATGATAATCAGCCGGATTAGGAAGGATTCAATAGAATAATTTGAATATTGATGATGAAATTCTCTTTCCAGTATTTGATGGATAACTAAACTTGATGTTATCAATGAAAAACGTATTACAAAAAGTAACAAATGATGAGATTGTGTTGATAAGAAGTTTTTAAACTTATCCAATTTCAAAAGCTAAATTTTAATGTAAGATTGATAATTAATAATAAATACCTCTCCCATAAAAACATGCTCAAATCCGGATGAATCAATGAAACCTTGTTTCCGTGAATATCCCTCAAACCATAATTGTTTAATCCAAGCACGGAATGTTCGCATGTTGTTTGAATATGGATAACCTTGAAATAAATAAATCTTCGTAATTATCATTCCATTACTTTCCATATTAAAAAATTTATTCGAAATTTAAAAGTGTATTTAGTGCGTCATAGTGATTCTTTGAGTTTGTAGAATACAAATTGTAAAATTTCAAATTTCGAAGACTGGTTTTATTTGTTGATGAGTGAAAATAAAACAGATGAATGATACTTTGCTGAACTTTAAATATATTTGACCTTTTCTTAGCAGAAACTGATAAAGACTTTTCCATACTGTAGTGTTAAGGATTGCATCAAGATAATCATCAATGGCTTTTTTCTTCTGGAAATATCATTTTGAAAGCAATCAATTATAGAATTTATAATAAAATCCAATTTATTATCATCAAACTTTACAAAAAAATGTCATTTAAATTGTATGCTTATATATTTTTTAAATTTTAATAAATTTATTTTTCCCTCTCTTTTTCCAATATTTTGATTAAATGGAAAAAGTTCATGTAAATAGCTAAAATTGAAAAAGAGTAAAATTAATACCTTTGGAGTATTTTTCTCTTCAATACCAACTTCTGGTTGGTATTCATCACTTAGAGCAATCCATTTCCTGAATGTATTCCTCTTCAATGCATTTGGATCTATCCATTTGAATAGTCTGAAAAGAAAAATGACCATTATCAAAGTTTTAATTAGCTAAGCTATCTGTAAACGTTATTTATCCTTATTTAAGCAATTATATCAGGGATATTTTTTTTTTAGATATTTAAACTCTCCTAAAAATAATGTCCATAATTAGTTGAGAAGTTGAAGAGGGAAGATATATACATATTGCTATCATAAATTATTATCCCATAGAGGATTTCATCATTAATCAAAACTAACAAACATAATGGAAATTAATAATAATAAAAAAACAGTAAATCAAATAGTATTAAAGAGTTGTAATTAGTAGCATTCATTATTACTTTTCATAATTAATGATGAAATTTATTAAAACTAATATTCAAGATATTTAAAGTGAAGAAGTGTTCTTTTACACTTCTTCGCCTGGTTTTTTTTTTCTTTGAAAAATTTCTTGCTAAATTATCATTTTAGTGATACCTTCTTTTGGCCTTATCACCGGAACCAAGACTTGTCATATGTTCCTGATAATCCAGAATTATTTGTTCATCATCAAGCTTATTGCTATCATATTGTCGAAGTTCATTCACCATATTTACAACTTCACTGTCCAGTACCAGAAATTCTAGATTTTATGAGTAAATAAATATTAATTAATTCTAAATTAGATAAAAAATGAATATACCTTGCAGTTTTTGATACCTGGCACCATCTGGTATACTTGTCACGTTGTTACCTGGCACTTTTTCTGTTCCATCAAGGATATCAGATAAAATTGCAATTAAATATAGGAATGACACATACCATACAGTAATGACCATTGTCCTGTAAAATTGCTTGATATGTTTGTATGTTAGCAAAATAATTCAATGATCCAAATTTGAGCCATTCTTCTTTTATTAATGTTGACTTATACATTGTGTCAACATCTGTTATAAGCAGAAATTTTGTTCGAAAAAGTGCAAGCGGTCATGGTCATCTGATGCAGATGACAAACTATCATCAGTCACTGCAAACATGCAAATCAGATATAAATTCACTTTATTATAAACAACTAAAATTATATTACAAAGAACAAAGATGACAGGGCGCAATAATTCTGTCTAAAATCGAATTTCATCTGATATCCGAAAAAAAAATGCATGATTTTGAGCGGTATATGTGATTGATTGATTGGTTGAGAGAAGTGCTGATGAACTGATAACAAATGGATATACAAGGATGACAATAAGGTCTCTTTTATTGGTCTTATAATTAAAGCAATAAGTGCGGAAGAAAACAAACAACATGTATATTAGAAAAGGAAAATTATGAAGCTAAGAAACAACAACTCCAATTAAATTAATTGATATCAATAAAGCTAAATCTTTTCTGCAATACTTCCAAAATATCAAAACAGTTTGGACGAGTTAAATCTCTAATCATTTCTTATCAATTAATTTATGATTTTTATTTAATGATTCGTTTTTCGACAACTGTTAATGATAAAATGGTGTTATTTATCATAAACATTATCAGTATTCTGTGATTCCGTTTTACAATTGATTTTCTTCTACCATTTCCCTATTTCTGCTTCTTCTATTCACCTTTCTTTTCTTTTCCATCAATTTCGAATTTACCATTCACCTTTCCATTTCCCCTGCTTTCTTAACATCCATAATTCCTCATCTTTTACTTTCTTGATCATATATTCTCACTCATTATTTGGTCAAAATATGATCTAGTGACATTGTCACAAGGTTTTTGAATGTCATCTGAAGGTAATTGTTATCATAGAGTTGAGTGAAAGTTAACTTCCTATCATATGATAAGTGATATGATTTCTGAATAGTACCGCTTTTTTTGCATAAACACTAAACAATAAATGGTATTTGGAAGTAAACACGACATCAAATCAACTGACCTGTCCACCAATCCAGGTCATATAATTAATGTGTATATAGGACAACCATCTTCAGTCTCACTTTTAACTTGTTTAGCTACTTTTTATCAGTGATTAATCCATTAATCCATTAGGATGAATTTAAAATATATTTGCAAATTAAGATAAGTACTGAGTTCTAGTAAGTTCTAATTTTCAGTCTCCTTACCAAAGTATTGATTTTATTTATATTTCTTTAAACTGAAAGCATGCTAACATAATGTTTATTGTCATACTTCAGGAGTGAAATTATAGCATGGTATGACTTATTTTCACCTTCAACAATTCCTCATCTAACCTTTAATATCAAAAATAAAATACTTACACCATCAGCTTTTCTTCCTTTAGTTGCTAATGTTTTACTTGGATCTTGAAATTTTGGGATAACAACTTGATTGGTACTTAATTCTGTTTGACCAAATTGTCAACCGTCTTTCACTTCCATCACAATATCTCAATAGTTTCCCTAAACATTTCTATAATCTGATCAAAAATTTAATCAAAGAATTAATTCATAACAAATAGACTGAATGAAGGTAATGATTAATTTGATTTCTCAGATAATTTTTCATCTAAAAATCGATTATATTAAAATTATTTTTGCTTCTATTATATACTGTGTTACTGACATTTCTGTGACAATTATAATAAGCAATGGAATTTTGTTATCGTTTTTGTCGGATTTTGTGATAAAAAATTTTAAATATTTCGTCTAATATGCAAGTTTTATTTGATTGCACTATTTTAATATTGCATTCATTATTTGCTTATAAATTAATTTTTGAACTTTTTAGTTGGCTTTATTTTTTTCAAAAAAAAAAAAAAAATTCATTTCATATTTGATTTACAAAAGAAATTGTAAACAGTAATTTTTATCATTGCTGAATAATTTTATTGCTAAATATATTGCTGAATTTAACAAATTTTGCATAAACAAATTTTATTTATACAATTATTCTTTGATCAATTCTAAAATAATTTGAAATAGTTGTTGAATATTGAATATTGAAAAATCGACTTTGAATTCAACAAATATCGAACGTTTGTAGAATTTCGTTTACATTCCTATTGACGAATTCTTTTTTTATTTTTAAAATACACTTTTAAAATTTTCAAAAATCAACTTATAATTACAACAATTTATTGGCAACTAAAAAACACAAATAATAAAAATTGAGAAAAAAATAGCCAATTTTTTAATTCTAAACTACTCGTTTGGATGATTTTATATTCTATTTGTGATAAAAAATTTTATCAGTTTGAAATAAAAAAATTTTTTATCCTGATAACGATTAATGTACCAAAAAATGATTAATGATTACTGATTGGTACTTTTATTTCAAAAAAGCGATTAATGCTAGAAATAGTGGATGCAAATAATTAAAATCTTTTCAATTTCAACAACATTTTGAAACATAAAAATGAACAAATTAAAATTGGAACCATTTAAACCTAAAATTAGACAGATAAACTCAATAATCCTCCATCAAATTACCTGTAATAACAAGTAATACTCCTTTTTTGCTCTTTTTTTTGGTTATAATATTTGAATTTTTCTCCCTTTCAATTTTAATTGAATTTTTTAAAATGAAATATGAACAGGTAGTTAAGCAGAGAGTATAAAAGGTAACAATATTCTGGTTCATTTATAGTTTTATAAGTACTAAATGTTGAAATCATTACTTTTGATACGTTTTCTTTTTTTGATATTATCTTTTATGAGGATGAGGAGAAAGAGAGGAAGAGAAAAAAAGATAATAATAAAATAATTTTAAGGAAAAATTTTTTGGAGAATTGATGAAATTATTTTGAAATTTTGCATAGTTTTCACTGGTTTACTTACAAAATGTTTTTTTAACAAAAAAAAAAAACAAAATGTTTATTAATATAATTTTGATAAAAAAGAAGAAAAAAAATGAAGCTTAGTATAAACTATAAAATTATTTATTTTTGTTGATTACTTATCAAATAAAATCATTAACTTTTATTAATTAACGGAATAATTTGTTTGGTACGATAATTTTTTCATTTTTTCTTTTAGTTTTTGTCATTTTTTTTTTGTTTTATAGAATTAAAATAAGAATGAAAAGAAAATGAATACTGAATTAAGATATGGAATTAATGGTATTGATACTATTTGTTACGGTACGTCCTTTGTTGTCATCAAAATGTGAAGATTAGTTTCCACCATTTCTGCAAGAATTATTACAAAATGGAACAGAAGATTATTGTAATTTGTATGATCAAAGAATGTATGCATCAAGACATGAATTTTATAATTTGATGAAAGAATGGGCTAAAAAATATCAAATTTTGGTTAGTTATTGATTGGTAATTTTATTTTTGTTTAATTTCATTTCTGTTTTATAATTAAAATAAAACAAAGGTAATTGTAGCTTTAATTAAACTGTATGAAAAGTGCAAAATTTTTGGCTATAATTAGCAAAACAAGTAATTACTGTCAAATGGATAGCATTAATTAGTCATTAATGCATAATAAATAAACAGCAAAATTATTATAACAATAAGCAAAATAACAAAATGAAACTTTATTGGTAGTGGAAATAAAAAAAAAAAAGAAAAATTAAAAATTTAAAATTTTTACTGAGAAATTTTGCTTATTTATTAATTATAATTAAATAAATTAGTAAACGGAATAGTAGGTAAAATTTATAATAGTTTATGGTCAATTAAAGAAAAATGAATTTATCTATTTGTTAATTAAAAACAAACAAAATTTGATAGTAGGAAGAGAGAGAGAGAAGGAGAGGAAAGGGAAAATATTGTCTAGCATTAAATATAATTTGCAATATGTTAATATATTTCAGGAATCAACCAATAAATTTATTAATCAAGAAATTGAATATGAAAAAAAACTCGGTGAAATACTTATGCAAAGATTTCGAAGTATTAATGGTACTATCAAAGCTAAAAAAATTCTTTTCAAAATAATAAAATTACAAGAAAATATGAATGTTCGATTGATTAAAATTGAAAAATGTTTTGATAATAGAATAGCATTGTTATCAATAGAATTACAACAAGAAGTGATTAATCTTTGGCAGATGATATATCCACATGATATTTATAAACTATGTATACAACATTTATGATATTATTCAATTAAAAAATTTTAAAAAATAAAAATAAAAATTCATTTAATTATTATTTTAATGTTTTTTTTTTTTCATTCATATCATTTATCATTTTGATACATTTTATAGAAAGAAAGAATTGTTAACATATAATAATGATATGTCATCTGTAAATTTTTTTTCTCCTAAAAAATAACAGTAATGAAAATTTAAATTTAATTTCATGGAAGAGTTATTGAGTGAACACAATGTTGATGAAATTTAAGTTGTAATTCATGCTCGAATGTTTTTGACACATTTGACAACGATAAATGCTACATCGCTGTTGTTGTTGTTGTTGTTGTTGTTGTTGTTGTGGTGGTGGTGATTGTTGTTGTTGATATTGTTGTTGTTGTTGTTGTTGTTGATGTTGTTGTTGATATTGTTCTTGTTGTTGATGAGTTCGACGTACGTGACTATCATGCGCTGCATGCGATGCAAATGATTTACCACAATTAGCACACTATAATTATTTATTAGGAATATGATAAGATAATGAAAATTTATTGATTAATATCAAAACCAATTATTAGTATATATATATATATATATATATATTTGCAGGTAATTATATTATTATCATTAAATGCATATTTATTCTAAGAAGCAAACAATCATAAAACAATTATAAATTTTATTAATCAAATAATATTAATAATTCATATATAGACTGATAATCATATTATTGTCATTAGATGCATAGTTATTGCAAGGAACAATCAGCCATAAAATAATGGTAGCATTAATTAATTAATTAATCAGTCAATTAATAAATAAATAAAATGATAAAAACCCAAAATCAATCTTATTTTTTAAAAATTTTTGCATAATTCAATCTATCATTATTGTATGTCAACTTAGTAGAAGTTAGAATACGTTTTTAATTTTATCACAATATGATATGATTCAAGAAGAAAGGTTGCTGCACTTACCTGAAATGGTTTTTCACCACTATGTTGTCGTATATGTGTACGGAGGATACTACTTGCCGTAAAACTTTTACTGCAAAAAATACATTTGTACGGTCGTTCACCGGAATGCACACGAAAATGCTAAAAATAAAAGTAATCTGAAAAGTTTTCCGGAAATTTAAATTAATACTTCCTACAGTTAACTTTTTTAAAGTATAACTTACAATAATACTTTTCGTATTTATTTCTAATTTATTAATTGATTAGGAATGTTAATAGTTTTGTAAATTTAAAACTTTAAGCTTTTGATTTATTTCAAATTAATCGATTGAAGTGGTGTTATAATTAAATTTTGCAAAATATAATTTGAACAATATTTAACTTAACATATTAGCCCTTTCAGAAATATGTCATTAATTAAACAAAACAAATTACTTAATGCCTGTTGCAATACAAAATTAAATTAATTATTAAAATAATAAATCATACTTTATTAAGACTTGATGATTGAGAAAATGATTTACCACACGTAGAACATACGTGAGGTCGATGATTCTCATGCACATGTAATACGTGAATCCTCAAACGATCACGCTTCTCGAATGATCTATTTTATAATTCAGTCATTTTGAAATCTAATCGTTATCATTTATTATCTTTTAAATTTAAATATAAATAATAAAAAGAAAAGAAATTATGCGAAAAAAAAATTAGATTATTAAAATTTTTATCAAGTAATTAAAATAAATTTTTATTTTCAAATGATGCAAAAAATTTAATATGAGTAAAATTTTAAATTGAAAATAAGTAAATTTTTAATACCGTGGACAAATGGAACACCGAAATTTACGATCACCTCGGTCAACACATCTGGTATATTTGAGATGTTTCTCGCGATAGTATGCATAAGTAAACATTTTACCACAACGATCACATTTATAGCCGCCAATGTGTTCTATAAATTTAAAAAAAAAAAAAAAAACTTTTATTTTGCTGTTTATTTACTTTTATAACATCGTTCTGTTGAATTTTGCTAATTATTCATTTTATTATAATATAAAAATAAGAATGTTACAGATTGATGAATTTGATAAAATCCGGAAAAATTGTATGCAGAGTATAGTTGTATCTTAATATGATCCGGAATAATTATTAGTATCGTAATAAAATCCGGAATAATCGTATTACAAGAATAATGATATATGTTAATAAATTCAAATTTGTCGTATTGATATGTCCTACCAGCTATATTTCTTTTTACCCATATCACTATAAATTAGCATTTAAATAATTTGCATACTTCAAAACACGTCAAGTTCACCAATATTTATTGAAATAGTAGAGAAAGGTCATTTGGTCATCTCATCCTCATAGCATTTTAATAGTAAGATAAGTACAGTTAAGAATTTAATCTACTTTTGCTATAATTTGATGCATAATTCGCTCATTTTAGTTGTTTGTTTTCGTTTTTTCTTTTTATAAAATTTTGTAAAAGTTTAAAATTGAAAATTTAAAATCTCAATATCTTACAATAATCAATATAGCCTTTTTGTTTTTTTCTTTCCAATATCATCTTTATGTTCCCTTTTTATAAAATTTTATAAAAGTTCGAAATTAGAAATTTAAAATTTTAAGTTTTGCAATCGATTGTTATATAAAATATAATAATTAATGAATATCAAATTCATCAATTGTAAAATTTGTTCAGATACTTGTATTGATGGTAAAATTTAATGTCAATTTATTAGATACACTAAGTGTTACTTTAAAATTTTATAGTTACTATGAAATGGAACTATTAGATAAGTAGTATGTGTACATACTATGCTAGTTTGTGTGTCATGTGGATTTTGTTTGAATGTAATATTGGTACTTCAAATAGAATCTAAATAGATACTTGGAATTGGCCTAAATTGATACTTGAAGTCGAGGAAAAAAGGAAGTCATAAGTTGATTTTATAACTTGTTCCTAAATTAATACCATTCCTGCTTTCTTTATCTCCTTATTATCATCATCATTATTATTTCTGGAAATAATGATAATGGCAATGATAATACTACTACTACTACTAATAATAATAATAACAATAATAATAATAATGATAATAATAGTAGTAATAATAAT